GCGAGCGGAGCACATAACGCGACCCCCTTGCCACTTGTCGATCGCCTCGTCGCTCTTCCCCCTGCCCCCTGCCCGCCCCGCGAAAATGAGTAGCCAGCGGACGCGACTCATCCGAAACGTCTCGTTAAGTGCGTCGAAGGGACGAATCCGCGGCGATGTTTACGAGGCAGGTGTGATGGGTTGCGTTGCGTCATCGGAATCTCGCGAGGCGTGAAAACCGGAAGGATTACGGAGTGGAGGATAGGCTTGTCGTAATCTTGCCGCAGCGACAGCACTTTGAAAGCGCAACGAGTCCTGTGCTCCGCCCGTGTACGAGGATGATCGTTAAAAAGGCGAGCCGGCTCTCTACGTCAGCGGGCTCCGCCGCGGCTGCTAAACGCACTTAAGCTCTCGAGACATTCAGCTCGAACTCTTGGATTGCGTGTCGCCGTGGAGAAGCGATAACGGTCGTTAATTTTCTATCGCGCTGCTTAGCTCGGATAGCAGCAGCGAGCCGTACTGCGTCGTTATTTCCGCACAATGGCTGCGAGCAAATGTTAGGATGACCGTTAACGAACGACGCCCGAAAGACGATAATTGCCTCGAAAATATTAAAAGCAGCCCGCGCGAGCTCGTTAAGCAACCTCGCTACGTGTACTTTTTCAGGACGTATGCTTTCGCGAGGCTGCCCACTTCTTTTTAATTTGGAATGTTTGATCGCTCGCGCTTATATCGCCTTAATCTACTATTTTATCTCGGGCGAACCAATCGCGAAACGAGCCTCGTTCGTCTTACTTTGGCCGCTTAATCGCGCTTCATTACGTCCGCGACAGGTGAAAAAAGAGAAAGAAACGAATGCACTTTGCCGACGCGCCAATGATATCCTCGTAAAGGAGCAAAAATAAAGGTCGCTCTTGCGGAGGCTTTAGGCTTTTCCTTTTTAAGATCGCCAAAGCGAAAGCCTCGTTTGGTTTTTTATGGTTTTCATGGAAAAATGCGGAAAGTTACGGGGAGCTTGCGAACTACAAAGAGATTAAATTATTGGCGTCGACGCGGGAGACTGGAGCTGCTATGCATCGAGCAAAATTCGATCGTAAATTTCACACGATTGTGTTTTTATTGCTCTTCTATGATAAATAGAACAAAAAAATACCACAGAAAATTATGCACTTCGATGTCCATTCAAATCACTCGATCGCTTTTATCCAATACACGCTCGGAAACTCTCTAATCGATCCTTTGCAGTCCGTAATGTAACTCGCAACAGAAGCCAAAAGCAAAGCAAAGACAAAAAAGCTATATTATCAAGCAAGTAGCGTTTAAAACTCAGCACTTAAGCTGTAACGGCTGAAAAGTGAATTTCGCCAGTTACTAATAGCAGCACCGAGAGAGAGAGAGAGAGAGAGAGAGAGGCCATTAGAATCGCATTAAAAGCCGTTACGTATTTCCTGCCTTTGCGACCCTGAGCAAGGTTAGCCATCGTAACTTTCCCGATAATCGCTTCGACTGATTGTTCAATTAATCCCAATACAATTTGTCGTGAAAGTCTTCGTACGATTGGCAAACAATTATAAATATCCTACTTCGCCCGCGAGAGGAAGAGAGAACCTTGTTAATCATTCGTGCAGGCGAGTCGCATGGTAATTAGCTCTGAAGCGCGAGAAAATCCTATGAACAATTAAAATACGTATGTGTGGGAGAATTGCACCGAACACTTGATTTGTATTTGATATTCATTGTAGCCCACAATGTTTACTCCGTGGGACACGAGCGATTTTCTAATATATACATATATATTTCATCGCGTTTCGTGACCGCGTTCGCTCGATAGTTTGACCAAGTGCGAAAGTAGCGACGAGACTCCGCTCGATATTCATTTACGACAAAGCGTTTTGACATTTTGCAATTTCATTTTTTTTTTAATTGCGAGTGCAAATACGCATCGCAACGAATTTGACAGAGCGCATTCGGTCTCAACTAATACTCGTACACTTCACGCTCTCTTTAGAGATGCTAGTGCATATCTATCGCGCAATATTGCAGAGACGCGCAAGAATAACAGTCGAAACGCAAACATTGATAAAAGAAGACATTTTCCGCATTAGATACTCGAAGCGCTTTCCAAATATTAAAACCGCACGCGCGAGTCGCTTAATTATAGATGCGCCCGAGAGAAGAACGAGGGAGAGGCGTGCACTTTCGCTATGCACTGCGATCAGTCGAAGCGAGCCGCAGTGGACAAGCCGCCGCTTTGATTTCTATATGCAAAACGTTCGCTTTTGCGAGCTCGCGTATCTGGGATGCGTTTAGCGTGTCGTTCGAGATCAACTTGGCGTGAGAAAGGCGATTGTCTCTCATGTCGCAACGGCGGGCAATGACATTCCGATAAATAATAAAGAGTCTGCGATGCTTCGGCTGAGCTCCAAATTGCGCGTACCGCGCAAGCTGCGTATTCGAATTCACACGGAGAGAACTAAAGGAAACACAACAATGTAAATCGATTCCGAGCAAGTGTAATTTTTAACGAGCGTCTCGCGGCTCTCTCCGCGCAATATTAGCATAAATCGAGGATCGACGAGACACGCTTAGCTTCATTAGCTTATTAAACGCCAAGAGTTTTCTTCGCTTATCTTTTATTTTCTCTGGCGCTCTCTCCCTCGCTGCTAGTTTAGCCGCGGAGTACACATATCGTCATAAATTAGAGGAGTAGTTCGCCAGATAAGAGTATACAGCTAAACTTTACGACGACGGGGAAATCTAATTCAGTTCATTCTTTTTTTTTTCTTCTCCCGGCCAGATTTTCTAATTGAAGCGCGCAGATGAGATACTCGCGCGCGCGCGCATGGCTTATTTATGAACTGGTTGAGAAAAAGCGAAGTGCGATTATATTCTGGCGAGAGAGAAAAACAATGCGAATGAATGACGATAGCAGTCGCGCGAAAATTTGTCAATGTCTGATGTAATCGCCGGATGATAAAGCGTAGTCGGTCCTCGCCGGCCGAAACATCATTTAAAGCACACACATATTATATTTATAGTCTGGCTGTATCGTCAAAGGCTACAGCCTCGAGGGCGCTTCTGTAAACACCATTAGACTTAATAACAATAATTAAAATCGTTACCGAAAAAGACACAGAAACCCTCGAGATTTTGCCTGATTGGACGTTTTAATGAATGGTTCGCTTTCTGCTGATATCTCGCGTTCTGCTCATTTGCATGAAAAATCGTACAATTTGTCTCGGGGAGGGACTGGTTTTTCCGGATTTTCTTTATTTTTCGTGTCCCATGCTGTATGCGCAGAACGCGCGTCCGATAAATATTAACGAAATGGAGAAAAGCAGAGCGGCTTATTTATTTGCGCTTTCTTTTTCTTTGTTTGCAATTTGCTAAGCTTTGTTGCGCCCTCGGACAGCTCGAAAGAGGCGAGCGTTTAATGAATTACGAAGCAATTAGGCAGGAACGCTTTGGCATAAAGTCTTCGTTAGCTAAGACGCATAGGCGCGCGCATGGAAGAGCATCAGCAGTATTGAAACTCATGAGCAGCTGCAGCAGGCATAGTTCGCCGCGGCGCGAGAAGGGAAACAGGGAGATAAGCGGCACTTTTGCGCGCTGCCGGACAACGAGAGGAAACGAGGCAGCGATAAGCTCGCGCGAAACTATCTGCGACATATTTTGTTCTGTTTTTTTTTTTTTGTGTAATGTTTCACTTTTTTTTTGGCACGAGGGCTGGGCTGAGAAGGTCGCAGCTAAGGGACACACGGCAGCTCGAGGCTGTGAAAGCCGCCGTTCGCGCGTCTCGATTTCGTGAAATAACGCGGAAGGCAGACACGTCTGAATTGGCGCCGGCCGGTTCTTCAATATAAGAGGGCCACTTCTCACGCGACGACGCTTCCTCCTCCGATGAAAAGGAAAAAGCGGGAAAAGAAATAAGGCGAGCAGACAGAGCCGTTGCAATATCGGGCGGCGAACTGCGCGTTCGACGTGCGCGCGAAGGCACCAGCATCGTCTGGGAAAGGAAGGAGATAGCCGCCCGGCGGTATACACTGTCAGTCTTTTATCGCAGGTTCAAAGTTCGCGCCCGAGGACAGATCGTCGCTCGCATCGCAGTACGTCCGCGCGCAAGATTCGCTTTGCGGGCATTTAGGATCGCGACTCGTCGTGCATTCTGGCTCGAGCTGATTATTGGTTACGGACCTGGCCAATTCGCAATATGACAAGCTGGTAGAAATCGCGAAAATTTCAGAAGAGCATTAATTCAACGAAATCATATGTCGTTTCGTGTGTGAGACAAGCTCACGTACAGTCATCGTATATGCAATCATCTTCTCGATTGACGATTGTAGAAAGTGACAATCGATCTCCTCTAGCGATTACATTACAAACTACAAAGGATTCGGCAAAAAAAGAAAGCTCAAGTGCGATCGCTGAAAACGCAGCCACGCGCTGCAAACTGGTTATTAATGACCGACGGGCGAAGCTAATAAGTTCCTACACGATCCTCGTGCATAAATAATCCGCGCGGAGATTCACGTTCTCCTTGTTAATTTTGAAATGTGCAACTGTTGCGCGCGATGTGTTATCGTGAAAAGCGCGATTTTCCAATTGCCAAGCGCGGGTCGCGGGTGACGATCGCCTTCGATGCGCCTCGCGGGAGGGAAACGGGAAAGGCGTGTGCGCAGCCTCGTTACGGCGACCATTTTTCCTCCTCCTTCATTTTTATCGGCGCCTCATCTGCAAGCGCGACCTCACGACTTCCTGCTTTTGTGTCCTGTGCGCTCCCGATGTCGACGGCTCGTGCCTCCAAGCTCGACGGTTTTTCTTCCGCTTCTTCGCTCTTGTCTACCGCGTGTTTCTCCTGCGCGCACCCGTGTAACATTTCTAATTATCGCTTGGCATAATACCCTTGAGGCTCTTTTTCGAGCTTTTCACGATGGCTTAACTGTAAAAGTTCTTGAAAAACGCACTGATTGTGGGGAACGTCGTATCGACTTAACTTTCTTAAAGATTAATTAACCCTCGTTTTAATTCATTAAGTACACTGTTGCGCAAGCTTATTTATTAAAAAAAAATAAACATTATTACAAAGTAAAATACAATATGAATCACTGCGGTGCCTCTTGCGACTTATTATCCCTTCCATCTTCAGCAGGAGGAATGTCCTGCTCAGCTTGTGGTTCATCGACCTCCTACGAAAAGTATGCAGCATCTTTTTATTTTCGCCGAGAAGTACAGTTAGCATTGCATTACAACTTACCTTTTCGACTGTGCCATTCGGCTCCGGAGCCGCGTCATTTGTTTTCTCGCTCGATTTTTCTTCCGTAAGTCGCGCTGCATAAGATTGAGCCTGTGCAAGACGGGAAACTTCTTCTGCCGATAATGCACGTGGCTGCAGCCAACCGATTTCCGGTGGTCGCTCATCTTGCTCTCCATTCTAAAATTGTTTTAATAAGTGATTTGGTCGTAGCTAATAGTGACGTTGGATCATTACCTGAGCGGCACTTTTGTCACTTTTGTCACTCTTGTCACTCGTGTCGCTTGTGTCGCTCGTGTCGCTCGTGTCGCTCGAGTCGCTCGTGTCGCTCGTGTCGCCCATTGCGACGCTCACGTAGTCGAAATTTAGCTGAAAAAATTAACTTTCGATTGGAATGTTTTTCCACTTCAACGCAAACTTGTTATATCTTTTTCTAGCTATTAATTTACTTGCGGAATTTCACGCGCCACCTTGTGGTCACTCTGTTCTTTCGTTGTCACACGAGCTTGCGATGAGCCACGTAATACAAAACATGAAAAGTCTAGAGTGGTAGCCGCCACAACATAAAGTAAAAATGCAAAATTCGATGACTGCTTTCAGTGACGATCACTTGAGAGAACCAAGAAAGGTCCTACGATCTACTTCCCAAGTGAAGCACACGCAGAGTTCTCGCTTAGCCTGACTCGGGGTGAAAGTCCAGAGTGCTGTTAAAAAGAAAAATAGAGGCGGAAACTTTCGTTGCGTCTCACGACGACGTCGAGGCTCTCTGACCTTCGATCTGACCCGACAGAAAGAACAGTGCAGCTGCGCACGACATTAGATATTAGATATACACGTATACACATCCCTGCCGCACGTACACACAGCTGAGCACACAAATCACTCGTCTATAAATAATTCAGGCAAATATGCAGATGTATACGAGTGCGTTGCGTTGCGTTCTTCAAGTGTCATCGTTCAAAGCTTGACAATGCAATCGAGTGACGTCTTCGACGAGCTTAATTCTCACGATGACTTTTGTAACAATTAGTCCACGGTCTATCCTTGCGAACGGAATCAACACAATGAACAATGATATCTGGACCATCGCATAACTTCACATTTAAAATAATGACTCGGGTACGCGCGCAAAGCCCTCTGGCTCGCGCGAGAAATTCGTATATTTATAAATAATAAATTGGAGTACTGGGCGAGCTTGATCTTGAATTAAAACACCATTTCCCGAGCGTTATACATGAATAACAGATTTGAGAGAGCTGCGTCGCAAATAACGAGAGGAGGCAGCTCTGACAAAAGATGAAGGAAAGATATCACTATCGCCCGCCTCGTTTCCTCTTGTAAAGCGAGCGAAAACAAGCGGAGTTATGATGGATCTGTCCTGGGGAGGTCGGTTACTGCTATTAACCGCCTGCAACTCGAAATATACACACGTACACTTTCGCGGTGGTCTTCTTGACTTTACATACCTTAATCGTTGATTTCAAATTGCAGAATGTCTTTGCCGAGCTCGATTGCTCCGTAAATTATGAACCACTAGTAGATGCTATTGTGCTCTGCTTCAAAAGTTTTACAACCTCGAGAAATGGGCATGGCCATGGAATTTCTTCCGAGCAAGTACATCATTGAAAAGTGGTTTAATCGTTAACATGGGAATAAGGGTCGATACCATCATTCGCAGCAACTTATATCGACACCTACACATTACGGTGCTCGAGCTTGAGATTGCATAGAGTTTGGCCAATAGCACCGCAATCAACGACTCGACAGGAATGCACTCGCATGATTCGAACAACAAATCTCATGATGGTTTCTCGTTCATATATCTGTGAGTCGTCGCGCGCGTAAAACGCGTGGGCCACTCGCACCACGCGAACGCGTGTAGCTCTTGTTTTATCAGTCGCACAAAGACTCATATTTTCCACTGTTTGCTCTCTCTCTCTCTCTCTCTCTCTCTCTCTCGTCGTTGCTCGTTTTTTATAAGTTCTTTCTCGCGCTACTCGCAGATAAGGTGACAGCCCCGAGGAGACTCGTCCTTTTGCCGTACGGAGACGGGCAGTAGAAACTTACGAGGGTCCTCTCGAGAAATGTCATTCTTCATTTTTGCAGACGCTCGTCATTTCCTCTTTGTTTTTTGCTCGTACTTCGTTTGACACTTGTAGAGTCAAAAAATAAAGAAAAGATGACAAAGAAAAGAAAACGACAGTAACGACGACAATGAGACAATTAATTAAATGTCATAAAAGCGTTCCCACGCTAAATGCACGTGCAGGAGAGTCAAGCAGCAGCATCTATCTCTCAACCCTGACCTCTTTTATGCCACACGAAAAGAGACGTCGCGCTTACAAATGAAAAATTAACGGTCGTCCGATTTCACTGATCGCCATTGAAGACAAGCCCAAGCGCGAGAGAGACAATCGCTTTTCCCGCATAAAAGAAGTCTGCGGTCGAAAAAATCGAAGAAAATGGAAAAAAAGCTGCCGCGCGGGATGACGTTGCGCTCCGCTAGCGGTCTAAAACGCTATACCTGATTATTAATGACCACGCAGAGACACTGCAGCTTTTACGAGATATCGCGCGCTTTCTGTATGTCGGTTACTGGGCTATTGTGTGTGCGATCTCAGATCCGCGTTCCGATATAAGCTTTGACGGTTGATCGGTTTTCATTCGCGAAGAAAAAACCTATGGATTCGAATGGAGGATTATGATAAATATACGTTTCGAAGAAATCACGAGTGAGTTGTCCGTTAGAGATACTTACTCTTTGCGAAATAAAAATCTGAACTGTTGAAATTGGTAAAAGAACCTCACCTGCAACAAAAAAACCAACAATACTAATAATAGTGGAGTATATTTAGCAGAGATTGAAAATCTATACGTCAATTTAATTTCACTCGACGAAGAAGAAAATTATTGATGGAGAAGTAAGCGTCTGCGGTGCAATCGACAGACTCGTAGATAAATATGTGAAACACGCATCTCTTAGCCAATCATTAGCCGGCGAATGCAGCAACGACAAAATTAAAAAGTAAGAGACGATGACCAGGAAGAGGAGTCCTAATTAGCCGACGGCGACGGCGACGCGGCACCTGTCGTTCTGCGCTGATCACTTAATTAACCGATGCCGCGTGTTGCACGAGTCTCACGACACTGGAAGCAAACACATACAAGGAAGTCCCCAAATGATTGCCCACGATGACACTGTAGATGCGACTGACTAAAATTCGATTTCCATTTAAAAACATTTTCCGATCAGTGCAATTAACGGTGAGCTGTTTCCGATGCGTGCCTAAGAAAAGACGCATTCCGAAAAACCAGTTGCATCCGTGTAAACACACACACGTATATATATACATACTTTTGATACGTCGGCTGTTATGTTATGGCGAGACGCGTCAGAGCATTAAATCGGATTAGATGTACAGTCGTTCGGTGTTACTCGAAGGAAATACGTAATCGCTCGACGTAGAAAATGTGTAATGCGCTTTGCAGCTCGTTTCTTTTTTCGCCGGTAAACGCGTTCACATGTCTGAATCTTCATACGCGAAGCAAATGAGGCTCCAAGAGCAGATTTTACAACTCCAGTTCGAACGAGTAGGACTTGGTAGACTCGCGCGAGAGAGCGAAATGCGGTAACTCGATGAAAATGTATCTTTACATCTACATAGATAAAAGAAACGAAACTAGGTATCGCGAGTTTACGAGCAAAAAAAAAAAAGAAAAAAGAAAGGCGTACGTGCCAGGTGCGATAGCGATAAGCTGGTAATATTTCAACTGCTACGGCCGATGTCGAAAATAAAGGGTGTGTTCAATGAAAAAGAAAAAAGAGAGGAGGCAATTAATTCGAAATAGCGTCCTTCATTATACTACGGCATTAGCTTATGCGATTTATAGCATTGCTAATTATACGAAAGGGACACGCATCAACAACATTGTTAAAAATATTTTTTTTTCTTTTCAACGAACATCAAGTCGTGACTGAGTAGTAAAAAGTTTTTATCGCTGCAACAAATTCCTGCGCGTAGCTTTCGAGTGCAGTCTCAGTCGGGAGAGTCGAGTCGAAACTCGAGAGTCTCGTCGCTTTGATTAGCCGTTAATTTCACAATCGCAATTCGGAATTTTGCAACGCGAGGACTCGCAAGCGCTAAACGACTTTTTAACCGACTTAGAATTCGGTAAATACACGCCGAGTTGCGCGATAATTGAGCGGTCGCGCGTGGCTCAGCTACACGGTCAAGCAGTCGGTCGGGCATTGAGTCAGGGTGGCGGCGCGCGAGTTTCCCACACGAACCGCGCGCCGCACACGTCTCGCGTGCCTAATCGGCCTCAATAAACACTAATTCGCAATAATAAACAAAACGCAAATTGATTCGTCGTTATAATTGAATTATAGCCCCGCGCCACTTAACTTTCACTCGCGGCGCGACTCTTACTATCCTCTAAGCTGCTTGCTCTCGCCGCTTCGAAAATATCCCAAAGTCTTTTGCGATGATGATGAATCGTTGGCCGCTGCCGCTTCCGCGCGGCAGAGATAATGCACGGCTAATCAATCATGCACCTCTCACATTCATCATTGACACTCGTGTTTTAACCGTGTCCGTGCCTCGCGTCTATATAGAGACGTTATATGCGCGATCAATCAGCGCAGAAAAGCCTGGCTTTCGTGTGTACATCTGACTACTGTGTACATAAAGGGCTCTTTTTCTCACGAGTGTTTAGTGCTAGCGTTGACGGCTTCGGGATGCATTGCCCGATGACGATGACTGATTTGAAAGCCAGAGTGCTGCTCGTGTTGGACGCTTAAAATGTCATTTTCAAAGTGGCCGCGCCGCGAGGACGCTCTATCAACGATAAACGCCGCAGACGAAAGTGTTGCTGCATACGCTAAAATACGCGAAGCACGCAGCGACTTGAGCGGATGCGACGTGGAGGTGCATTTAAAAGTCGAAATGTCATACGTATCTCTATTCGACTTGCAAGACCGCGGCCGCGCGCAGCTTGAAATACGCTTTCACCGTGGCTGCAAACGCGAGATTCAGATGCCACTTCCTCGATATTCATCAACGACAAGTCGATTGTGCGCAGCCTGTGGAACAAAAGATCGAGATCGACGAGAGAGGAAAGGGGAACGAGGCGGACCACCCACGAGCCATTCGTCGCGTAATCTTTGCGCGACAACTGCCGCGACATTTCTTACCGATCAGCTCGCGCCCCGCGAGAGCGTGTGAACAATCGGCTCTTCGCATTCTGACAGCCGCGCGCTGTCCGACCCTCGCAGCTTGTTATTCGAATATTTACAGTGACCACCTCTTAAGGCGATATAGCGGAAAGTCATTATCGCTTCCGTATTTTCTTTTAATGTACACCTCGCATGATTATTTTCTTAGTTGAAAAACAGTTTGAATTTGGATCAAATGCAAACTTAACTATAAGCAACAATCTAATAACTATGGTGCTGACTAAACTATGATCGCTGGGTACGAAATTGACGACGTTATATTTAATAAATACGAGAGTACAACACAAGCTTCAAGTCAGCATCTATACAAAGTTAATGTGGAAGTTACTTCAAATCGCTAGTGCAGAAAACTTAATGGTTACGTGGATTATAGATATAGCTGTGCCAAGCGGCT